CTTTTACAGCTATTGCACCTGCAAGTATTTCACCAAAAGACATTTCCTATTTGCTTACAACAGACTTTGTTAACCTTTATACAATTGTAGTGTGGCTCACGGTATCCACTAATGTAATATCAATTATAAATTTAATGTAGTAATAAACAGCACTTGGCAGATACAGGTTGTCTCATTTAATAACGTCATTACATGGCGACCTTGAGAGGCGAGCTGGCCACCGATAGTAATAAACTCATAATAAATATAAGACCTAATAAATACACACATTACCAAAATGAGGAAAATATTACATAGTGCCATAAAAAGTTTTGGGAACAAGTTGTAAATAAATATTTATAAAATAAAGTAAAAAATATAAAATAATGAGTCAAAGAGACAGCTAAGAAGACTTGAGACGAGAAAAGAGGATTCCTTTTTAATAGGATAAGGGTGACAAACGAGCACACAGTCCACCTGATGGAAGGTGGTTGCTGTGGCCCATAGATATTTATATCTATCCTTGATTACTAATCAAAATGCAGATGCGTTGTCACCCGTGAGGACTAAAATGGAATGCCTCATTTCCAGTAAAAAGGGTCTCCGGTTCTCTACACTCACCATACGAAACAACAGCATTAAGCTGCTATTTTACGCTGGTATTCTGGGAAAGCGTGGTCCTCCCCTGGTCGAGCCGAACCATTCATGCTACAACTAAACCACTAATATAGCTGCAGCATGGCTCTACCGCTTAAAAAACTGATGACAGAGATTACTTTTTTTTACTCAGGTTAAAAAGAATATTGGTTGAGAAGATATAAATTGAAGTACACAGTGGTATTCACATAGGGAATTTTAACATTATCAAACCAACCGTGGAGTAAAACAAATACTCGTAAGAACACAATTATAAATTATGTTTCTAAAAAATTCTCGAGAATTTAATCAAGTGATCAGTTTTAGGAGAACTGAATTTTTGTGTTTTATCTATAAGAAAACAGGAAAAATGTAAATTTCAATCTTTTACCATTACTCATTTTATAGATGGAAAACTATTAACACAAAGGAAGTGCTACTTGTATATTCATATCCTTATTATTTAAGCTTCATTATTTTGATATCAATGTGTAATGAAAAGTAAATTATGTGATTTATTACATAATATTTTTTTAAGGTCGAAGATTATTTTATAGTATATTTTAAGTGGCTTAGAATATTCCATAAAGAAATACAATTTTGTTTCTAAAATTTGTAAACCATTTCACATTTTGAATAACTCCCAGATCAAAGTACAATTTAAATTAGAAAAGTTAAGTTCCATCTGTATAGGATTTCTCTGTACAAAACATTAATTTGATATAGTAATTAATTGTAATTCTATACCTGATTTACCTAGTATTAGCAAAGATATTAGTAAAAAAAATGTAATTTATACCATTTTTCTTTTTCAAAATTTCCGATAGGTCTTTATTTCTTGACAGGCATTGGGCTTTAACAAGTCTGAGAAACTGAGTCACCTAAAGTTTTAGTTGCAATCTTTGTCAAAATTTTAACCAATTTTCTCTTCTTTGATACTATTTTCTTCATCAACGTAACCTGTAATGAAATAAATAAAATAATTAAGTACTATATTCATATTTTGTAACTGAATGATAAACATAAAAATATTAATTTATTATTTAGAACTTTTGATGTGTTTGACTTGTTTTGACCATCCTATAAAAGCCCTTGCATTTAGAATAAGATTCATTATAGTTCTCATCGTAGTAATGTAATCACGTAGTTAAGGAAGTCAGTATTGCACTGAATTAATTTTAATACATTACTGTAATGTAATAGTTATTAAATGTCATTGAGATATATTTGTAGTTTTTAAAAAGCTTCACCACCACTCCCGAAACTTAACTGGCGCAGCCAGCTCACAGCTTACAGCTGAGTTCATGTACACTCAAATTGGTCTTGTTCACAGTTCCGGATATCCTCAAACCAAATAAGTTTGTTAAATCAGGAGCTGAAGAAACCTTCCTATTCAGACAAGAGGAGATCTACAGGTAGATGTGGCAGTGAGCGGACTGTAAATAAAGCGTTTTACTATCCTGTCTCATTGTAGTTATTTCCTGTGGTTATTTCTTTATGGCTCTATGTTGTGACTTTTGAACTAAAATCGTTGAAAATTATTTGATTTCTGCACAAAACTTGGCAGTTATTTATTAGGTAAATATTATTATAAAGAAAAATAAAATGGATTAAATAAAAATAATGTACTTAATTATAATCTTAATATTTTCACTGTCCGGTTGGCAGACACAATAGTAAGACAATAGCAGTGCCCTATATGTAGTGCACGGGACAACAAAAGGGTTAAGAAGTGCTAAAATTATAGAAAGAGAATAATTAACAGAATATTTTTGTATACATGTATTGATTTTTAAATAAAAAGGGAACAGAGAAGAGAAAAAAGTATGTCACTTTCTTCAAATTAGACCTAAGGATCTAAAAAAGTTTGATCAGCATGTTTGATGGCGATCAAAGTATTTCAAGTTTATTTAATATATTATAAGATTTTTTATGGCATCAACAAGATTATACATACAAACTAAATAATATTATATATAACAGTTACCTTATAGGAAAAGATGCATCTCTTTTTAAGTGAAAGATTCTGGTGATTCTATATCTCTAAATTGAAACTGAATTAGAAAATATTCTTAGTGGTTTCAACACCTACTTAAAAAAAAAATTATAGTTAACCAACTTCACAATCCATACATAATAATTCACAAGGTTTTAGATATCCATTCGTTTTGCAAATAATTTTAATTAGATTTAACCACAACATCAAATTTAGAATTACATGTAGCAGAAAACAATTCCTATGGCCTTATAATATTAATATTGGTGTGTTACTTAGAGATGGCCATCTCAGTGTAAGTGATGAAATATGCAGCGTTGGAAATGACAAAAATTTAAATTTTTTAATTCTTGATATATTTCAGCGTAAACGATATGTTATTTTATTAATATTTATGATTTATTTTTACATAATTTCCAATCAATCTACACTAGATGGAATGAAATCGAAACTTCTGTAATCTTTAATAAATTAGGAATTTTACTTGTAGATATTGAAGAATTGTTAAAATCATTAAAATCAGTAGAGTTAACAAATAAATTTATATACCCCATAAGCTATAACAACTAAGTAAAAATAGAATAATGTATAAAATTATGGGAAGTCAAATAACATTTGTTTTAGAAATAAATACTATACAGCCATCCTGTTACCACTCCCTCTAAACTATAATTTTAATTCTTTAATACCCATACCTACAATTAAAAGGTTCTGAAATGGTCTCACTCACTCAGTCTTGCAATTACAAGGCCCTATGTTCCTGCACTATGACGACAAGTCAAAACTTGCACAAGTTGAAGATACTTGTATGAATGCTTTAATGAGATTCCCAGATAGTACGAGCTCCTGCCATCCAGTACCAGCCGAAAAGCATATCTATCATTTTGGACATTAGTGATTTAATAAATCTTGAATATTTTAATAACCTTAAAATAAGGAAAGTGAAATAAAATATACTGTGAAAAATTTTTACAAGGATACATTTTCATAGCAAACATCTATATAATTTTTTGAGTTTCCATAGTTACAGACACAATTTTATTAAGTGACTGCCACTTTATACTATGTAGTTATAATTAAAAATGGCTGGTGAAATAATCACAAAGTGATGCAATATTTTTTATTCAAAATGTATGGTTCAATACTTCATTACTGGAGTCCACTTGATACCTACTTAGAAATCACAACTTTCAGCAGCCGAAACTTAAGTACCGTGATAAGTAATAAAATTACTCGCCTGTTGCAGTCAGAGGCACGCCATGAGCTATTTAATCGTTAGTAAGCAAGCATGGATAAAAGTACCTATCGAAGTTTTCTGCCTAGTCAAGAAACGTTCTTTGGGAAGTTCAATGATCTGGGAATTTGTGGATACTATGAAATACATCCACAAGTTTCTTAAATTATCGTTTTTAGGGAATCTGCACCAACACAGCACTTTTCGTATTCCGTTAAGATAGTATACGCTCACGACCAGCACAAAAACAGAATATTTTTATTTTCACAAATAAACGGAGGAAACTTTGCGTCCAAGATCTCAATGCAACATAAATGCGAGGAAATACACTTGCGCTAAACTCATAACTCAGGCTACAATACAATTATCAATATTGATTGCCGCCATTATTTATCTAATTGTATTGTAACTCAGGCTACAATACAATTAGATAAATAATGGCGGCAATCAATATCGATAAATTTGCTTTGACATTAATATACAATATGGCGTTTTAAAATGGCGTCCGTAGACAGATAACAACTTGCGACGGTAGCGCCAAATGGCATAGGATGGAACTAAGCTGTCACGGGCCTGGGGGTAGCTCTGCGTATTCGGCATGAAGTTATAGATAAAGATTTATCTATCTTTATCCATAACTTCATGGTATTCAGTTAGAATCTACTAATAGTTAGTCTGTGGCTCTACGTTTGCGAAAATGAAAATGGAGTTTTGGCGGGAAATTGACCGGCGGCGGTTTGCTGCTCCTGTATTATTGTTTAAATAATGGTTTGAAGTGGACTTTGATATGTAAAAGTGTTGCGATTTTGTGTATTAAGTGTCTACGCATGTGAACTATTAGTGGAAACAGTGAAACAAGTGCTCTGATGGTAATGGATTCTCAATATAAGCTGTTTGTTTGCATAGGCACCTTTAGATACCATCGCCAACTATCAGCTGTCTGCTGGATCAAGTTGCCGCCAAAATCTCCCAAGAACTGCACAATGTGACGCATCAACATATTGTGAAGCAGTATACTATGAAGGAGTGGGGAAATTACAATAAACCGAATAAAAATACTTAAGACTTGGCCTAAAGGTCTAGATACCAGGCCATAAACTCCAAAAAAAAAAAAAAAAAGAAAATGAAAATTTGCTTCCGTTCGTGTTTTTTAACAGTTCATTGATATTTGTGTACAGCGATGTCTCAAAATACTAATTGGAAAATGAGCCATATGGCAATTTTAGCAGACTTATACGATTTTCGAGAATAAACTAGTGAAATGGTGTCACAGTTCGTGTGTAATTTTTCCATATTATAAAAGAAAATCGTTACCGCATCCAAAATGACGTCTGAACAAGAAATATTTTCGCTCTACGACAGCTATCCGGATTCTCTCCTGGATATTTGTATGGATTACTTAGTGGCCAATCTGAACACAATTACGACGTTGGATCCCACCAGTCACTGGCGTAAACTTAAAGATGATATAACTTTACCTGCTAATTTATGCGAAAAATTCATCCAGACTTATCAAAAGAAAAACCGAGTGAACGATAACATTGCAAACTTATTTCGCGATCCATCCCGAACAAGACTCAACTGCGTGAAACTACGAAATTCACGTATTACAGAGGAAGGTCTACGGTGCTTCATGGTCCATAGGCCCTACAGTGTGGAATTGGTGCAATGTAAATACTTGTCACAGGAATCACTGGATATAATTAATGAATACAGCGACCGTTTGGTGTCTCTAAAATTTGGTCCACTTATATACGATCTTTCTCAAAAAGCACAAGAAGGGCACCTAAGTCAAAAAGGATATATAACTGATGCGCCCAACTTAAGGCAGCTGACTATACAATGTCGCAGGCTGCCTATATCTCCATTACTTCTGGTAAAGCCACTAAAGAACTTGACACATCTAGATCTATCTGACTTTACATCAGATATATCCACAGGTGCGTTACATGAGCTGAAAAACTTAAGGTCACTTAGTTTGCACAATATTGTCTATTCGAAGGAAATCATAGATTGGATTACAACTCTCCAGTCACTGAGACACTTGGATTTATCACAACCAAATGAGATACTTGGAACATATAATAATCCAAATAAAGTATTGTCTTCAATTGTGACTAGTTTGCCACATCTTCAATCGTTGGACATATCAGGCACTAATTTAGCTGGGTCTGGAGCAGCATCAGTTCATGCTCGCTGTGATATACCAGGGCTTGTGAGTAGGGTTAACAACCCTTTAGAGTTCCTTGGCTTGTATGGAACTCATCATGGAGCTTGCAAAAGACATGATATACCTGCTAAAGTGGTAAGTTTAAAAAAAAATAATTTGCAGTGTTGTCTTATGCAGAATGCACTTATTCAGTTATTAATTTAACTTTTTTTATTTGCAAAAGCTATTTCACAATAATCTTTGCAGAAGCTATTTCAAAATGTTATAATTTTAACTTAAAGAACTTGATTAATACTGCATTGTTTTAACTGAAGACAGCTTGTAGGTAATTCTTTTGTAAAATTAAATCAAGCACGTTACACATTCAATATAAAAGTAAGTTTCCCTATGTATGGAATTTTATTTGTAACGTTTTACTTCACTTTTTAAAATTTGTATTAGTGTAGAATGAATGAACTTAATTTCAATAAAAATTAATTACTTATTGTTGCAATTAAGTTGACGGGATAAACAGCCGGGCTATTTTTCGGGGAGTTAAGTTCGTAGTGTTGCCCCCCAGCTTATCTCCCGCTATCTGCAACTATACTCGCTGCTTGAGTGAATGAGTGAGTTTAGTTCAGTGCATAAGTTGACAAGATGTAAGATGTTCGACCCTCAAAATATAAAATTGTACTTTTTAACTAAATTCACCACAAAGACATTGAAACAGAAACAGAAACTTTTTTATTCAAAATAGTTTATAAATAACACTTATTGAAAGTCACTCTTGTAAAATTACCACTGGTTCCAAAAAAACCTCTGTCCTGGGAAGAACCAGCAAGAAATCAAGCTGGACTTTTTTTTAAAATAACAGCTTATAATCATGTATGTTACACAAATTAACAACACACAAATTAGAAATAGCTTGGTATAAGGGCGTGCTTCGGTGGTTTGGGCACATTGACCGAATGAGTGAAGACCGAATGGTGAAGAAAATATATAGCGCGAAAGTTAATATTAAAAGGTGTCGAGGTAGACCGAGACTAACTTTCGAAGACCATGTGAGCAAATTGCTCGAAGAGGGTAGGGTCAAGAGTACTCGGATACCTAGACGTGCATGTATGAAGAAGATAATGAATCTGAAAGAAGCGAAAGAGGTATGTAAGGATCGTGACACTTGGCGATCTGTTCTCTCTGGCTACCCCGTCAGGGATTGTGCGTGAAGATAAGTAAGTAAGTAAGTAAGTAAATTGGTAGCGATCACCTCATTTCCACGGGTTATTATCATCCATAAGTTCCTTAATATTATAATAACCCTTTTTATACAAACTTAGTTTAATAAAGTTTTTGAACTTTGAGCAGGTCAAATTTTGTATATTTTCTGGAATTTTGTTGTAAAAGCGTATACATCACCCCAAGAATGAATTACTGACTCGATGGAGTCGAGTAACTGGTACTACTAGCTTGTGTCTGTTCCTAGTATTTACAGAATGAATATCACTTATTTTTGTAAAACTACTTTTATTATTGTGTACGTACATTACATTTTCATAAATGTATTGAGACGCCAAAGTTAATATATTAATTTCCCTAAATTTTTGTCGCAGTGACTCTTTAGGCTTTAAATCATAAATTGCTCTTATGGCCCTCTTCTGTAAAACAAATATAATTTCATTGTCAGCTTCGTGTCCCCATAGCAAAATACCGGACATTATGCTATGGAAATAGCTAAAGTAAACTAGTCTACCTGTTTCAACATTAGTTAGACTTCTAATCTTTTTTACGGCATATGCTGCAGAACTATGTCTGCTTGCTAGTTTTGATATATGGGGGCTCCATTGAAGCTTCGCGTCTAGTGTGATTCCAAGAAAAATGGTGGTATCTACAAGACTCAGTTTCTCCCCATTTAAAATTACATTAGTATTTATTTCTCTGACATTTGGAGTCATAAATTTCATACATTTCGTTTTAGTGCCATTTAAATGCAAATTATTAACATTGAACCAATTTACTAATTTAGATATAGCATTATTTACTTCGTCATATTTTAGCAATTGTCGACTTAATTTGAAAATTTAAGAAGTGTCATCTGCAAAAAATACTATATTATGGTTATATACCTACTATGTAAGGTAAGTCATTAATGTATACAAGAAACAGAAGGGGGCCGAGAATTGAGCCTTGAGGCACGTCCATTTGTACCATAGACCTGGAAGAACTCATACTGTTAATGACATCTTTTTGCATTCTCCTACTTATGATATCAAATAATTAATTTAAGAGCATTACTTCTTACACTGTAGTGTTGAAGTTTCCTGATTAATGTTTCATGGTGAACACAATCGAAGGCTTTGGATAGGTCACAAAATATACCCAAAGCATCCTGTGAATTCTCCCATGCATTAAATATATATTTAATCAGCTCAACACCGTCATCAGTTGCCGAGCGACCCCTTGTGAAACTAAATTGATTTTTATGAAGTAAATTATTTATATTAAAGAAATTTAACATTTGATCAAGAATAATTTTTTCATAAATCTTACTAAGTGTTGGTAGTACAGAAATAGGTCTAAAATTGGCGAGGTCTAATGTACTACCAGATTTAAATAAAGGTATTAATTTACTATGCTTAATTAAATCAGGAAACTCACCAGATTCGATACTAGTATTAAAAATAATAGCTAAATGAGACGCAATTGTATCTATTATAGACGCAATAACTTTAACGGAAATCCCCCACAGATCCACAGTTTTCTTAACATCAATAGTTTTAAAATATTTTACAATATCTTTTGATGATACTTTATGAAATGTAAAATTCTTTGTACACGCATTTACATTTTCTTTAAGTAATGATTCGGCGATGGCAGGATAAGAATTCAGTGACATAGTGGTTAATATCGAAATATCAGTAAAATATTTCTCAAAAACCATTGCAACGTCCTGATCTGATTCGGTTAATTTGTTATTAACACTTAACTGGTAGTTTGAATTACAAGAGTTGATCTTACCAGTTTCGCTATTAACTATACTCCATGTCATTTTTATTTTATTAGAAGCCGTCTTAATTTTGTTGCTCAAATGCAAAGACTTGGCTGTTTAGCACACTCTTTTAAATATTTTTGAATATTTTTTTACATATTCCCTAAATTCGAAGCTATGATTTGTAAAACTGCTCCTTCATTTTCGGGACATTACAGCTTAAATTACTGATTATGCTATCGGTTGCTAAATAAAACTTGGTTCTACTTTACGTTACTACTTTATTAACTCACACTTTAGTCTAATCAAACAACAATGTTTTAAGATTACGATTACACTCATTTATCATTACGATTACTTATTTCACATGGACCGACACATTAATAGTTTAAACAAAGATAGTATAATAAGATTTATTAAGATGTAAGATTATGAATCTGATTACTGCGCAGTATACTTAAGTTTTTTTTATTTATCGAGAGCATAACGAGTATAGACAACCCAAAGGAAAACTAATCCGAGGCCCTGTGTTACCAGGTTAATAATTAAATATTACTACGTTAGATTACATTCGGCCCTTACTGATGGTTGCCGTGACCTCGCAAAACTAGTAATGAAGCAAGAACAAAAATAAACTATACATGGCTAAATAAAAATAGTATCGTATAACTACAGAATCAATTATCTAAAGTATTATCATCACATAATATAAACACACCATCAAATTTTTCTTTTACTTTCTGTGGCCGTACAGAAAGTATCTTCTCAATAAATTACATATAATCAATCATCAATCTCACAGAACTTCAGAGACAGACCATAGCCACGCAGGGCAACTCTTTTTAGTAACCAATACTTCAAATCAGTCTCATAGGACTCCAGGGACAGACCACAGCCACGCAGGGCGTCCCTTATTAGTAACCAATACTTCAAATCAGTCTCACAGGACTCCAGGGACAGACCGCGGCCACGCAGGGCGTCCCTTATTAGTAACCAATACTTCAAATCAGTGTCACAGGACTCCAGGGACAGACCACGGCCACGCAGGGCGTCCCTTATTAGTAACCAATACTTCAAATCAGTCTCACAGGACTCCAGGTACAGACCACGGCCACGCAGGGCGTCCCTTATTAGTAACCAATACTTCAAATCAGTCTCACAGGACTCCAGGGACAGACCACGGCCACGCAGGGGACCCTTATTAGTAACCAATACTTCAAATCAGTCTCACAGGACTTCAGGGACAGACCACGGCCACGCAGGGGACCCTTATTAGTAACCAATACTTCAAATCAGTCTCACAGGACTCCGGGGACAGAACACGGCCACGCAGGGCGTCCCTTATATTCGTTATTAAATGAATATTATTAATTTTTAAATAATATTTATCATTCATCATTATTTTTATTTTTATTCTTATGTTTTTTTATATTGATATGCCATAATTTGCTAACTACTTTAATATGAAAGAAAGAAAAAAGTGAAAAATACTATCAAAATTTATAAAACAAACATTCATTCGCTTTCTGAATCGGTTTCCATGAGGTCATTTGAAAAGACAAGCCACGGATGAATTTTATCGACAGCAAATACATTTTTATACACTGGTTTTCCTTCTCTTTTTGTAATAGGTGTATCAATAATTTCATATCTGTCATTGCCTAAAACTTTCGATACTCTGTACGGTCCACTACATTTTGGTTGCAACTTTTTACTCTGTCCAGTATGGCTATTTATTTCTCTCTCAACTCTTACTAGATCGCCTACTTGATAAATCTTGGCCTTTTTGCGAGATTTGTCAAAACGGGCTTTTTGCTTTTGTTGATCTTGTGCTATTTTTAATTCCACATGTTGCCTTATTTCTTCACGGTTCATAATCTCCACAGAATCAGCTACTACTGAATTCATCATGGCTTCAGAAGATCCTGTTGGAGTGACTCCAAACAAAACTTCGGAAGCTGACTTTCCTGTAGCTTGGTTAATCGTATTATTAAGGCCCCATTGCACTTTGGATATGTGTGTCCCATTCACTATCCGGTCTTCCATGATTAGTGGCTGTCAAAGCGTTAACAATAGTCCTGTTGTATCTTTCTATTTGGCCGTTCGCCCGTGGAGTTGCCACGGCGTTCAAAATGTGCGAAATACTTTTCTCTTTAACAAAACCTGTAAATTT